CAGCAGCCAGCAGCAGCAGCAGCAACAGCAGCAACAAAGAATAAAAGCAGCAGGCCCCAGCAGCAGCAGCAAAGAATAGCAGGCGGCAGCAGCAAGAAGAAGAAGCAAACAGCAAGCTGTAAGCAGCCAACAGCAATACTAGCAGCATTAGCAGCACTAGCAAGCAGCAATGTCATCAGCATGAGCGACAAAAAAGTAAGCAAGCAGCAAGCTGCAGCCACAGCGGCCACAACGAGCAGCAGGTGCACACAGCAGCTACAGCATCAGTGGTGACAACGGCAGCAACAGGCCGCGCAGCAAGCTGCGCTAAAGCATCGCCCCACGAACAAAGCACTCAGCAATAGCGGCCGGCCGCCACAAGCAGCAGCAACTGCAGCAACATCAGCCAGAAATCAGCAACAGGCAGCAAGTGAAGCAACGTCAGCCAGCAGCTGGCAACAAGCAGCAGCAGCAGCAGGAGTAGCAGCAACAAAGAACATATTCAGCAAGTTGCACCCCCAGAGGCAGCAGGAGGCAGCAGGAGGCAGCGGCAGCAGCAGCAGCAGCAGCAGCAGCAGCAGCGTCAGCAGCAGCAGCGTCAGCAGCAGCAGCCGGCAGCAAGAAGCAAGCGGCCCCTCCCCCCAACTCTGCATCAGAGTTACGCTACTTCCGCTTCCCTAGCTAGATGTAGCCCATAGCACACCAATGAAGGATTTCAAAACATAAGCCCGAGGAGCTTCCATACAGCACGAAGAACTGCTTCAGCTTGTTGAGGAAGCTGCGGTTTCGAGGGGTATTTAATTCAGTTTCAGGTGTAGGGTTGAGGGTTTGGGCTTTGTTGAGTGTAAACCAAATACCTAAAGCCTTTAACCTTTCAAAAGTTTGAAGTTTGAAGGTTTCGAAACGTGCATCCCAGTGTTTACGTTTGAGGCTTCAAGGTTCAAGCTTCACGTAGATGAGAAGATTATTTGGGAAACCTGGAGCGGTGATACAGTGGCAGTTGCAGCCGCGTCATTCTGAAGCAATCAGGAGCAGACGTGGATTATTATGGGCGCTTCGGCTTTTACTAGGCCCCCCAAACAAAAAGGGCCCTTCAATGCATGGGAAAGGCTTTACAGGGGACCCCCTAACAAATTTGGGTTGTGAATGAAACTTGCTGAATCTCTTCCCCACATCGACCGTATGCAGATGTACGGCCTGTTTAGGTATTCTACCGCCGGGTTTTTTCTTCAACAAGCTCAAATGTCAAGGCCCGTTGGTGAAGGGGGGGGGTCCTGAATTGTGGGGCTTTTGGACGACATTATTCAGCTGCCACCAATAGCTGAATCGAGCGAAACTGGGCGGCGAGCCTATGGAATTTCATGTATCACCCTGCCACCTGAGATACAGAGCCTGGAACTTGAGCCCAGATTCAACCCGATCCAACCAAGGTTCCACAGGCAAATCCCCAGCATGTGGGCCAGCAGCAAGATGAGGATGCTGGGTCTTTTTTGGAAAACAAGCTTCTTTGCAGGAACACGTGTTGCTGGATTAGTTGCGGTCGTGCTGACCAAAAACGCTACAGTACTCGCAACGGGGGTGAGGGTGTAGGGCATCATTCTGAAGCAGTCTGGCGCACACTTCGTGGATAACCAGTGTTGGGGTTTCTCGTCGAGCGCAAGTTTGTCCAGGAGATTCCAGGAGACGTGCCGTGAAGAATGGCCGGGGAATCCTTTCAGCAACTTCACGGCACTCAGTGGTGCGTTATGATGCTTTGCGCTTTGAAACTTGAACCGAGGTGCCTCGCCGGGTAGGGGGTGTGGGCTTTTGAGGGTGAAGAGTGTAATGAGAATAGGGTGGTTCAGGGTTAGATCCATATTTCGAGCTTAGATGAGTTGTATGTCTAGCGTTGCTGCGATTTTTATACTGCACAATTCAGGGTTTGGGGCTTAGGCTGACATCAGGAAGTGGGGAATCGAGTTACCACAGTTTGTGACATGCCCGACTCCACATGAAGAGAACCTTCGATACCGAAACTCTCAAGCAATGTTTAGGGTTTGAGGTTAAGGGTTTAGGATTCTGGGGTTCAGGATTTGGGGTTTATTGAGGGTTTCCACTAAGAAGCGACGTACCTCGACACGGGGGTCGTGGCGATGCGCCGCACTAAAACCAAACTCCCACCCCAACACTACGCAGTCCTTGCTCTGCAGGGTTTCAGGGTTGGTCTTGTGGCTCCGGTTTTTTGCTTTGGGATTAGGTGCTTTCATTGCTTGAACGGAAGATTATATGCTCATACAAAAGCTGCCGCTTGGCCGGTATTTTGGTTCTATGTAAATGTTCCCTTCGGGGCTATGCTTGCGCTCGTTTCTAGCGGGTACAAGGGACCTGTGCTGAAATTTGAAGGGAAGACCTGAGTCCATTGGCTTGTTATCACCGGGGATGTCCGGAGCACCTCCCCCATGCCAGAAATCGTCACATTTGTGATGAGCCAAGTACAACATAGTACAACCTTGTCTTGGAGGTAAAGAGATGTCTCAAACGTTAGTTCCAGCTGGGACGCTGTGACATTTGACGGAGTCCGCATAGAACGCTGGCAAGTGTAGTTTCAGGCGGACAAGAGGTGGTGGCGGAAATGCAAAGGTTTGTTGAGATCTTCCTGCGCCCCAAACCATACGAAATGCTTAGGGTGGAGATTGCAAAGGCCTTGGCATGTCCTATGGTGCTCTCCCTGCCCCGACAAACAGGAATGTCTCGTCATCACCCCTAAGCCCGAGGCTCCCTCAGGTGTACTCTTCACGCCTAGGGCCCCTATGGGTATGTTTTAAAAAGGTACAAGGTCCCGTAAAATCCCACCCCCGAATCTAGAAGGCTTTTTGGTGTGGTGTTAGCGCCCAGATATCTAAGCTTAAAGCTGGCATGATGTTCGTAACGGATATTAGTGTAAGTGTCGCTTATCCTTGGTTGTGTGAATGCGCAGCTGTTAAATGTCCCCAACTCTAAATCAAACAAGAGTATGTCTTGACCACGCACCTTTGGGTACACAAGCTATTCTGTCTTCGTCGTACAGGTGCTGAGCTCCTAGCCTTTAATCGATCCATTCCTGTGTAACCCTTGTGTGTTGAAATTGCAGGCTACCCAGGACTTGCCCAGAGGAATCACTAAGCCTGTCGTTGCTGAAGCCCTGCGGGTCAAATTGATCTCCCTGCGGGTCGAACTGATCTGGCGCCCTGATCCTGGCAAAAGTTTTAGGTCTGCATATGGTCAAGTGCTTGGGGCTGAGAGCTTGTTGGGGGTTGGGCTAGGTTTTTGAGGTAGCTTGCAGGCACGGCAGCTTTGAGATTTTCTTTTGTCGATGCTCTCAGGGCTGCATTCCTAGATGAGAAGCCTTGTATAGCTTCTGCGATATCCCATTTGAGAGCTTACTTGAACCCCTCCGCCCCAGTGCTTGGACCTCACGCCAAAGTGAGTGTACTTCTGAGGTGCAGCACATCCTTCCCTTCGTGGAGGCTGAGAGACCCCATCAAAGAAACAGAAGTTGGAGGCCAGATGGTTGGCATTCTGTTTATGATGTAAAATAGAACCGTGAAGAATTACTAACATGAATGTGGTGTAAAGATTACCTGTATTATTATGGCAGGGGGTAGCGCAAACAGGCCAATGATAATGATAATTACTGAGGCTCCGCATTATGTATTCATTCGCTTCATATTTCCCTTGATGCAAAACTGATGTCGATTCAATTTTGTGTGTTCTTGTCCATCTGATTCTCCTGTATGCCTCAATAGTATTGGTAATCATGTAGGCCCCTGCGGTACCTGCAGCTTCAGAGATGAAGTTATACAGGCGGTTGTGAAGATGGTTGGTCTTGTTTTACCGTCCAAAATTGCGAGGCACAGCATCAAGAAACATATTACAGGGGGCTCCCCAAAAGGGACCTCTACACATGAGAAATTCTTGAAACATGTAGATCCGTACAGCTTTGAATGCGTCTTCTGTATGAATAGTCCCACTTCTCGACCTCAACCGCCGCGGATGGCAGATCCTTTCAGCGGTTGAGGCTTGGCGTGTCTGGGCGGAAAGTTGAGATGTGAAGGACCCTCATCCTGAATTCTTTCACACCCGGAACCCAGAATCTCCAAGACCCTCAAAAAACTACCTACATAATCATACATACTCCTATATGGGTCCATTTTCTAGTCATTTGCAATTTTACTTTCCATTTGATTCTTGGGACGTGGGGGGCTGCCGCATACAAACCATGCAGTACTAATTCACATGAACTGAGCTTTCCGCAGCATCATTCCAAGTCCTCAAGGGGAATGGGTCCAGTACTACAGAGGATTGGGGAGCATTGCGAGTACTAGGTTACCTATCCCGCTTGGACCCCGCCCCCCACCCCCCCCAACCCCGCCTGAAAGACATGATAACATCCATGATGCCCATGTTGCACCCTCCTCTGCTGCCTCCTGCTTGTGCTGTGACAACGTACCAATGAATCTGCAGAAGCGCAGTTCGTTGAGGCACAAGATGGGTTTTAGAGAGTCGCTTTGAGGAGGCCCCCTCATGAGCTACTTGGTTGCATGCCTCCCTTCATGATACGTATTGTTGTACAAGGCGGAAGGAGAATATTGTACATAACGGGGTTGCTTCGCTGCTCGGGCCCGCCTCAGCCCTTCATGATCCTTGTGGTGACACTCAAATACCCTGCATGATCCTAAGTACCCCGAACCCAGGGACTTCTGGTAGTCCGGTATAGAAGAAGGGTCATAAGCAAAAACAGTGGGCAGAGCACGCACAGTATGTGGAAGACGAGCCCGGTTTTGATCTATGAGAATACAGGTCTATGGCTTTTTGGTGGGAGTACTTGCCGCGTTTCCACGCTCATGAATGGCTGACTGCTTTCATGATCTTTGAGGTCTGCGCCGTCCCCGCCTTGCTCTTCGGTGAAGTCTCGGTAATCAATCGCAGCCCGCGCGAGGAAAAAGAGAATTACAGTCTATGTTCACTCCTTCCCAAGCTGGCACGCATCAGTAACCCAGTCCGCAGAACACAGAACTCTCTCAAATACCTGAGGCCATTACGGCTCTATCTTGCGGTGAGCTGGCTAAGATGTCAGGGTACCGGGGTGATCGCCGCGAACTTTCCGGCAGTGGCCGCAACGTGCGCCGCGAGCCAGAGGTGAAGTCTCTGCGTCCCCTGGGCGTCACCGGTCCTGGGGGTCCTGCCCGACGCCGCGCCTTGGAACAGAGCCCCGTCACGGCATTCCTGCGTGAGATCGGGCTCCCACAATATGCAGAGGCTCGGATGACGACTCCACCCATCCATGTATTTTGATCTTCAAGAACCTGTTCAGGTTCTGCGCGACCACGGCTTTGATGATATGGACACCCTGCTTGGCATGGAGGAGGAGCACATGCGTGATGCAGGCATGCCTTCCGGCCACATCGTGAAATTGAAGAGGCAAGACACATCTAACTCCATTTCATGTGCCTGTCATGTGTCGCGGCCACCTGTGGCTCTGAGCTCAGGCGGCTGCGCGACTACGCTGAGACTTCCAGCCGTGCCCCAGCTGCTCTTGCGCGTGAAGCTCCACTTCCGAGGGGACCTTCAGGTGCGCAAGCCTGGAGCATGCAGCGGCTGTCAAAGCATCACTTTCAAGTCTGTCTTCCAGTGAGGTGCCCAAATCTCAGCACATGCTCCCTTTGTCCTCCTGCTCGGTTGGAGAAATGCTCCCGTGATGTACCTGATCCTTCATACACCTCACAGGGCAGTTCTGCAGGATTCGGCAATGGGTTGAGGAAAACAAGCCTGCGAGTTGACCTATAGAGTTTACTAGTAGGTCAAGAGCCCACTGTGCCCCCACATTTTAAGAGTCTGACTTTGTTGCTTTGATTTTTGCACCTTCACCATATTGTCGTTCCCGTCTTTTGCCTGTTCTTGCTTGTCAGCTACGCAGTTGAAACGGGGTAAGACAAGGAATGCGTAGGCCAATATGCATGAAACTCCGATCACTCAGATGACGTCTCGTTGAGTTCTTTGCTTCCATGAGCAACACCGCTCCACTGCACGGCCAGTGGCCTCATGGGTGTGCCACCTAAGCCATGTAGTCCGCGTATGAATCACGTTCGGCACGGCCTCAGCCCCAAAAGAAGCTCGAGCTTTGGCAGGAACGACGGTCGCCATCAACTCCAATGCCATGACGACGGTGCAGATGAGCTGGCTTCAGGTGAAGCAGTTGGGCACAGACGTGGTCGGTGCGCTGTTCTACAAGAAGTTCTTCCAATTTGAGCCTGCAGCAAAAGCCCTATTCCCGCTGAGCGTGCGCCTGCGCTACAAAGATTGGGACACTGATGAGGAAGAGGGCGGTGATCCAGAAAACTCGCCTGCCTTGAGAAAGTTGTGGGCAAAGTTTATCACCGTTGTGGGGAGTGCCGTTGCCGGGATTCAAGACTGCGCAAAACTGGTTCCAAACTTGCAGCAGTTGGGAATCCGACATGTGGGGTATGGTTTGAAGCCAGAGTATTTCAACATCGCGCCTCAGCTGCGCTTCTTACGTAACGTGTTGGGAGCAGGGTCTTTCACGGTTTCAGCATACAAAGTTGTTTACATGCCACTTCCTCATGGGCTCTGTCTAAGGCAGGAACAGTTCTGATCGAAGTTCTGGCTGAGTGGCTGGGTGAGGGCTTCACCAAAGAAGTGGAGAACGCATGGGTCATGGTTTCCGGCTTTATGGTGGCCACGATGTATGCCGGGTTTTCATCAGCTTGTGCTGACATCCGCGCGAAGGAGTTTCAATTGAAAGATCTCTCTCCCAAGCAAGGGTCTGCTGCAGGAAGTGTCACGGACAGCACTTCGTTGGCCTCAAGACAGATTACTCCACTAGACAAAGACGCGGATGATGCCAAGGATGGTTTTGAAATTTCAGATGACCTCCCAACGATCCTCACTTCGCCAGATCGGTTCAATCAGTGGGACGAAAAGCCCTTTCCGTAGTTGACAAGGGTGCCCTCTCATCTGTGCGTGTTCGAAGGTAGCAGTCGCAATTTACAGCCCAACACTGGTTCTGCCGCGATGAATTCCAGTGTGGGGATGGGACACCTACCAGCGCGCACGCGCAGCTTTTCAAACGAGGACGGGCCAACATGATCCGAATTCCACCTGTGTTTCGGCATCTGGCTGTGATAATGTCCAGATGGTATGCATGCCCAAAAACCTTGCAAACTATTGGTACCATAGCTTGGTACTTGTTTCAAGCAGTACGGCGGCAGGTAGTCGTCGCTGATTGCTTTTGTAGAGCTTTGTTGCACCGTGCCGGTGTGCATCGTGCCTTGATGGCAAAAATTGCTGCAGAGCTGTGGATCCATGCAGACTTCGGTAGGAAATCAGGATTCGTGTGCATGGGAGAGGGCCTTCTTGAAGCGTCACGAACGGCAGTGCGGCGGATTCAATGTTCGAAAGCTACTGAGGCTGGTGCTGTGGCCAAGATGCTTGTCGCTTGACAACATCAATCAATTCCCCAAACAAATCTGCATGCCTGTGGAATTGTATGAAACAGCTTGACAGAGTGCATGACACATCGCAACAGCGCCTTCGATGATGTCCAGCGGTACAGAACTGGCTGCAACGCATTCACTCGTCCCCGTTTGGCTCAAGTCCTACTGGATTGGCATGAGACGTGCTAACCCAGCACTCGGCCAATTCAAGTCATGCCCAACCCCAGACTCTTCCTCACAAAGTTGACGCAACTTGAAGGGCATGTACCCAAGGTGCAAGCACAAGTCAGATGAACCAACGAAAGAGACAGGACAGGCAAACTCAGTGGAAGTCATGGCTATTGCTGGTTTACATAGGCAGACAAGCTACACGCCCAGCTAAAGGCTCAGTATCCGCATTGAGACCACCGTCTTGGCATCCCATGTCGCATGGCGGATTGATGCTCCATGATTGATGCTCCAAAATACCCGGGGGCGCACCGTCTTTGCCTTCCAGCCCAAGCGTCTTCCCAAAGACGTGGACAGGCTGGCTGCAAAGTTTCCTTGTGAGATTGTGGGCACACCGCTGAACAGGCTTACCTTCTTCAAGGGTTCCATCGTCCGCAAGAAATCCCTAGGCTTTCAGCAGCTCTGGGGCAGGTTGGATGGCTTTCAGCAAAGCCATCATGTTTGGGAGGCCCAACAGGGCTGCCGGAGGATGATGCTGAAGCCCAGAAGGCCGTGTGTCAGCATTCAGGATAGCTTGTCATTGCACTCCTCCATCAAGATTCTGCCAGTCAGGTCAGTCAGGTGGAAGCCGAGTCGTTTGAGCCACCGCCGCGCGGGGTGGAGGCCGGATGGCAACGGGCTTGTTGAAGTACTCTGTTGTTGACCAGCTGCTGAAATCCCAACATGCAGGCCGGGCTGTCGCGCTCTGTTTCCGTGAACGACTTGAGGCACGCCAGAGTATGTGACATGATGCACCTGCAATTTCTGTTGAATGCTCAAGGTCACGGGTGCAGCGGCATCGCTCCTTAGACCCCGCGCTGGTTAAAGGCCTGTCTGAGAGAGAAGTTTGTCGAGAGGTCAAGGAGCTGAGCTTGGCAGGTCCGCAGTCAGAAGGACAAGAGGTCTCGGCGGCCAGGCTCTGCAAATCCCTGCATGCTGAGGAATGATTGTTCCCTGACGTTTGAAGCGCCAGGCACTGCCCACCTTCACCTTGTAGGCCTTTATCAGCGAGATTAGCAGAGGCAGAATGCGGGGCGCTGAGAAGACCGATGCTTGCGGAGTGGCAAGTGGCTGCAGGCACCGCCTCCTCTGCCTGCTTTCCCTGGCAGTTGGAAGTCTGAGGACTCCGGTGCTGCAGAGTTGACATGATTTCAAGTTTGAAAAGTGGAGTCAGTGAAGCTTCGTTGCATCGCATGGTCAGACATAGGTTGATGCGATGTATAGGCTTGCAAGCCTGAATCCGCTACAGGAGGCTTCATCTTCAAGGGCAGCCCCAGAAGGTGGCCAGGGTGCAGCATGCGTGTTATTTGCTGTTGCGAAAGTCAGATTGAACTTCCCCGGTGAATTTGTGAGAATTTGGCGGCGCGCAGAAGATCTTAACTTGCGTAATTAGGCGTAGACGGTCTGCTGCTGTGCCACCTGTGCACTCTTGGCCTTGCTAGGTGCAAGCCATTTCTCTGATGCGGGGGCTGGTGATCAGTAGCTTTCTCAGAAGAGGCCTTTGAGAAAGTTTTCATTTCGAAGCATCAAGGTCTGCACCGAGAATGGCGGCAGCAGCAGGGAAGGCGAATCACATCCTGCGCTTCTGCGCTGCAGCATGGATCAACAGATGCACAAGCCAGTCCATTGCTTGGAGGCGCTCCTGCGCGCAGCAATGGAGGATCCAGGCAGTGCATGTCGGTATGCTGTGCTTGTGGCAGCGCCATAGCATGCAGTGGTTCAGCTGAAGCATAGCTGGTTTGGGAAGGAAACCCTGCAGCTGGCAGCGCCATGCGCCGTTCCCCGTCCATGCCCTTGCCCAAGAGGCACCGTCTCCTACATGTCCCTATATATTCCTATCCGTACACATTCGCAACACTGCCCAAATCTGCCCAGTGTGCCAGGCCAATGGTGCCTTGTGAGAAGCGACGGCCGCGGCCTCGCACGGCAGGAGAGGAGGCCCAGGCCACAGAATGCCCCAAAATCCATTTGAACCCTTCTTGATGAGTTTGACAGTTGTTGATCCTGGGCAGGTTGGCGAATCTGACGCTTCGCCAGCATCTTCGCACGCAACTGCGTCAACCAGCAGTCCTGCAAAATCTGCCCAGGCGCGTTGTGCACTTAGCTACAGCTTTGGTTGCTTGATAATCTTTGGACGAAGTGGATGCCAGGCTCCGGCTTGCGGCCAAGTTTCTGTGGCAAAGCTGCGGGGGGGATACGGCGGCCACATGATCGCGCAGTCAACTCCGCAGCTGGCTTCAAGCCATCGCCCGCCTCCACCTTTGCCACCGCCAATTCCACAGCTCAGGCGGCCTGAAGGCAGGTTTGAAGTGAGCATCGAAGCCTAACGACAAATGAGTTGAAGCAGCCCGTAATCCGTGCTCTTGATTAATAAGGGCGCCCCGGGCCCGCCCCTGTATTAATGCAAAAGCCTCATCAGGTCAGGGGCCCCAGATGCCAGAAGGAGATTTCAATTGAAATGGTGTCCACGGAACCCCGATTGGGGTCCAAGCAATCTCAATATAACTTGAAATAAAATCCATATGAATCTTATTGAAATCGGACCCTTATTTACTTAGGGTTTGGGGATAATTTTCTACAAATCCAGGGGGTTTTCGGCCCAAAACCGGCCTCCGGCTTTAAAGTAGTCTTTGACCCTCTAATTTGGCAAGAAGAACTTTAAATCTACGGGGTTTTATTAAATAAAGAGCACGGATTCAGGATCGTTGTGACATGACAGGTCAGCCTCATTCAACTCTCCTTGCGGCTGCATCGGCACAGGCACATCCAGACTTGTGCCGCCTGTGCTACCTTGGAGCCTTCTTGTCTTGTTGTTGCCTCCTTTGTGCAAGGCTTCTCTTCTCAGTCCGATGCCAAGTGCCCGCCGCCCCTCCCAGAGTGGTTAAATTGGGCGAAAGATTTCGGCAGTTAACAGCTGCCTCCGCCCTACTGCGGATGTGAATGTCTTCCGCGTGAGGTTTGGTTTGTTCATCTAGTTCCGCAGGCGCTCGTGCACAGTCCTGCAAGATGCAGGATCTGGCCGGGCGGCTGGAACAAGCATCTGCAAATGCCCTTAAAGTGCATATGCAAAAAGCCAAGAGGTTCTTTTACTGCCGCTCGTTGGAGACTGCATTGCGGACGTGCCTGCCTCTCCCTCTCAGATCCTAGATGATGCCAAGTTCAAGCAAACGCTGCACACAAGACAATACAAAGACGGTGTCTGCAAACATCACAGAAACATCATCTAGACATCAAAGCAACAACTTGAAAAGCCTCGCGTCCTGCATCCTGCACTTATGCTTCTTCGCTCCAAGCGAAATGCGGCAGCATGTCTTCACAACTAGGCTCGGGCCGGTTGGGCAACTTGAAGGGGCCCATGAAGGATGTCACGCGTTTGCTGCAGCCACGGGTCAGGTTGGCTCCCGCGCAGACATGCTGGCTGCCTCGGTGTCGTGCAAGCCCCGGACAGATTCTTGCACATAGCCTGGCTAGGTCTAGAATGATAGCAGCTGCTAAAGAGAAAGTGGATGGATGTGTTCGTAGGTGACTGTTCGTCCAAGGAGCCAGAAACAGCAAGCATTCTATTCTGTGGGTACGAAGGTGCTGCACTGGCAGCCCCTCTGACCCTGAGTTGTCGCCACTTCAGCCTCACAGCAGCATTTATCTCATTCATGAAGGGCATGCCGCTAATTCATCAGTCAGGCGATGGCGACGAAGTTCCCAAGCACATAGGATATGCCCCTCGATACTTTGACTTCAAGGCGCGGAGTGTTGGCCAGTGAGTGGTTAGGAGCCAGTGGTTCTCAGGCAGTGGTGCTCCAAATTTGCTAAGATGCCATGAGCGGCTTAGCCGGTGCACAGGGATGCCTGCACATTCTTGCGAGGCCTTTCGAAAGGCGTCTCCGCCTCGGTTTCTGGCAGCCTGAGGTTTGCCGGGATACAGAGATTGATCAACTTGCTTCTTGCTTTTCAAGGCTGAGGGAGAAAAAAGAAAGCCTTTCCGAAGCCGAGCTTCGGGAGGCCAAGCTGCTTTTCGACTGTCACTTGGGTCTGTTCACCCAATCTGCTCATGTAGGTGAGGCGAGAATATGCGCTGCCTCCTCCAGAAGGAGAGAGCACATCCAAAGTGCGACTGCTTCAGCTGACTGCTGCAAGTGTGTTGCGTTTGCTCAAGGATGGACTGTGCTGCATTTCTTGGAGAAGATGGAGTTTGGTGATGGAGCGGAAGATGTTGCAAATCTGTTCGAGCGGGGGTCTGAAAGAGGAAGGTACACAAACTTGCAAGATGCATTAGTGTGGCACCGCAGGCATTGGAAAGATTTCATCTCCATGTCAGCTGGAGATATTATGAGAATCCCGGTCCACCACTTAGCTGGTTACACACGAGCTGCTTTCGCCAGCATGTCAAACCTGACAGGACATTACTGCGGAGCAGCGGCGGCGACTGGACAAGTTCATCACCTTGTTCAATCACGGTCTCTTCCTCAACCGATCTGCCAAGCAATTGGCCTGTGCTGCTCCGGCCAGCAGCCAATGTTGGATTCTCTTTTTTGTGTAGAGGCCTTTGGCCCCGGGTGTCCGCTGACGAGTTCCATCAGCGCTTCGCTGGCAAGCTGCTTGCTCGCTGCCCAGACATTTCTGGCTCTGCTTGGAATTGTTGAGACAGGATTCCCTTGGTCACTTTGTCGAGGAAAATGAGGGCAAGCCATGGACGGAGGAAGATGACGAGCTGCTATTACAGCTTGCTGCGTTGGGAACCTCATGTAGAAGGGCTCCAGAAAATTCTGCATCTGCCTACTACCAGGCCCGGTGAACAAGGTGGCTACGATGCAAGCTTTGGCGACCCCTGGCGATGCACTCAGTCTTCTAGATTGAGCTGATGCTTTCTTGTTCTCAACCGTGCAAGGGTTTATATCTCCTGGGAGATGCAACGGCGGGAGGCACTAGCCCTAGATCTTGCTTGAAGCATGCTGTCACTCACAGACATGGCCTAAGATCTTAGACAGAGAGCAAAAGCCTCCAGGACGACGTGCAGCAGCGCTACCTTGACCTGGTAGTTCGCGGCAAGGAAAGGGCTGCGCGACACGAGCTTGCCATTACCAAGGTGCGCATAGATGTTGAACAGAGCATTGGGAATTTGGGACTGATGCAAAGGCTTCCCGGCCGCTGCACATGCATCGGAGGCAGCGTGCTGTGCAGAGCAACGTCTCGGTCAAAGCTCCGCTGGGCAGGTTTCGGATGATCCCACCGGATGTGTATATCGTGCCCTCCCAGGATCATGCGCACACCTGAACCGTGATTCAGCCCTTGCATGTGCTTCTGCTGCTTTCGCGAGACAGTTCCGACAGCTCCTGGCAGGACAACTTTCCACTAGCTGAGTGGCTCGGATTTGCATTGAGACGTGCATGTTGCTGTTTGGGACCTTCCTTGATATTTGCTACCGGGCAAAACGTACCACCGACCCGACTAAGTGCCGTGCAGATGCAGGGTGGGGCAGCTTGTGTAGCATCAGCAAGCCCTAGCTAGCCTAAGAAGCATTAAGAAGCCACAAGCACCAGCTTTCGCCAAGGCAGACGTTTGAGCTGCCAGAGGCCTTCAAAAAGTATCGTCAAAATGACATCTTTTAGGCCAACTGTTACGACGGGACACCGGTGCGGTTAAAGGTGTCCCAACATCCCGGGCAGCTGTGTGTGCTTTCATCGTGCGCCAGAAAGCAGGGTGGACAGCTGTTCGATGCAGTCAACAGGCTCAGGCATGAACGATACGTGCTTGCCATGGCCAGCAAATCGAAAGACACCTGTCTGCGAGCTCTGCCACTTACTCGGGCCCGATCTAGGAATGTAGTTGAAACTCAGAGGCTCCTGAGGCTCCTCAAGCTGACTTGGCCCAGGCCTCAGGTCCTGGTGTCGCTGGGCCGCTCAAGGCGCTGGGATCCTCGGCTGCACAGTTACTGTTGCGCTAAGATAAGCTAAGTCTGCAGCCTTTGGAAGCGTGCTATCAGCTGTCATGTGGCAGATTATGAAACATCAGGTTGAAGCCATTGCAGAGCTAGAGCGAGCTCTTTCGGCAGTATCCTTCCGCAAGGCCTGGCACTTCTGTACCTGACCCTGATGTCTCTGGATGTGAACTGTGCCTTGCGAGGCAAACCGAGCATGGCAGCTGAGCACACACAGAGTCTATGTGAACGCCGCGCTGACCGCCTGCCGTCTCGGCACAGCTTGGCAGGCACACAAGAGGCCTTTCGGGCGGGACGACGAATGAATCCTTCTGGGGCCAGGCAGCACTGGATGGCTTGCGCCAGCTGATCAGCTTGGGAGGCAGTGTCTGTAGCTATATGCACGGTGCCAGACGGTCATGTGCATTGCACTGGCTTCTTGAGTGAGATTTGACAGTGACATTGAAGATTGCAATTCCGTAAGAGAGCAGCGTACAGATGTTGGCCTGCTTATATACTTTGCTTGCGAGTGATTAAACATCTTTGGCAGCTATCGCATGAAACCGTAAGCATTTTGGTACGTATACACGGCCTGTACAGGTGTCGCTGTTCAGAAGCTAGCAAGTACTGTCAGGGTTGCGACTCTAGAGTCTCTAGAGTTTCAATGGTGCAGTTCTTGGGGAGGCCACGTGGCGGGCATCTTTTCGTTCAAGAGTAGAGATCTGGGTAAATGATGTTTGCGTGCTGTCGGACAAACTATAGGTTCCTGGGGTGCTACCGGGATGCGCAGAATACGGCCGAAAATCTCTCATCATTGGTGCAGCAAGTTCGAGTCCATCATGCTTGGCCATGCCATTCTGTAATTTGGCAACAAGCTGTCTCTTTCAGAACATGCTGGAACCCGCTTCATGCATGGCGTTGCACCACCTGGTTCCCTGAACGTTTTGCATGTCTTTTCCACTCCAGTCCTGGACATCTGCAAACTCTGCCTGCGGATGAGATTCATGTGAGTATGAGAACCAAACGGCGCAGTTTCCTTGGTGAGCTGGGAACCTGCAGGGTCACCTGACCAAGTCTCCTTCGCAAGCTGCATCTTAGTCCGAGCCCTGGCAACTCACCTTCCCGTTGAACCTTTGCTGCGCTTGGGTCGCTTGACCATTTAAGGCGATGTCCGGGACTGAAGGCGGGAAGGACATGCAACCTTTTGGCTGTGATTAGCACTCGGAGGAGAGGACGTAAGAGTCTGCTGCTAGGTCGCTGGGGGACAGCTCTTGCGTTGATGCAGGCCTGAGGCTTTCCTACTAGGCTGCCTAGAGCAAGCAAAGAGACGCGGGCAGGCCATGCCTTACCATCGGCTTCACATGACGACTGGAGTCTTCAATGCTGCTGGCTTGTTTGCTGATGCAGTTTTTATGGAGGCAAGGTGCTGGCACCTGCAGGCCACAGTCGGTAAAGCAACGTGTGAGAATGCCCTGCTGCCCAGGCCACAATCATTTGTCTGCATCGTTCTCGGCAGTGGCAGGTGGGGCGGCAAACAGCAGGTCTGAAGTCTACATTAACGTGCTCATTTGAAAATCTGGTCAGCACCCAGCAGTCAGCTGTTTTGCAAACAGGCTGCTCTCTGGGCCTTGCACGAGATGGAGCAAGAAGCAGGATCCAGGCTCAGCTAGGCGCAGTCCAGATGCTTGCGTGCAGTACATGTGGTTCCTAACAGCTGCTAAAGTGCCCACTGAGTCCCTCCAGACTTGGTTAGCCGACGTCTTAGTGGTTCTTGAAGGTGCCGTGCCCGCTGTTGTCCGGTGAACTCGAACCCTGAGGCCTGAACTCCGTAATGGCCGCCTGCAGTGGGGCCAGCCGCTGGCAAGCAGCCTTAGCCGTGCTCAACGAGGCCAATGCCCACATGAAGTGGTGTTAGAAAAGGTGATCTTCGCGAGCCAGGCACGTGGGCGACGGGAAGTTGGACCACTGCCCTGTGCTCAAAATAGCATCTCACGGCACGTTGCAGATATTTGATAGCCTGTAGTTGTTTCAGAGGTCGAATGTAAGCTACAACACTACAATGGTGGCCTGCGGTCGCCTGATGCTCAGAAGTCCCATCTGTTGTGCCACGCCTCCTGTGGCTAGAGTAGAAAGCAAAGGCGGGAGTGCTGGATGGGTTTGCCGTGCAGTGTGCTATGAGCCCCAAATTGTGCTTGCAAAGCGTGCGGGTTGTCAGCATGCACCCGCTCTGAGCCCATTTCGTTATTCCTGCAGAGCCTTACTGGCTGCTAGATTTCTGGCAAAAACGTGCCGTGCGGGCTGCCAGCCCACGGCTATTGTCCCGCCTTTATGCCTCCGAAGCCGTGCCGGTTGCGTTACACAGACAAACGCTCGCCTGTGCCTTCTTGTCTCTCACCGCGGAGGTTCCTCTTATTTTTTTCACTTCCACTAGCTTTTGTGTGATCTGTGGTGATCTGGGTTGCTTTTGATGCCAATAGGGGCGTTTGTGCAGGTTCCTTCAGTGCTCACCTCCGAATTTTCAAGCTGATTGTTGGGGCCCGTGACACGATTCGCGGCATTACGTTGCAGCGCGCGTGGCATATTAAACTGCGCGGGCTTTCTGCCTGTGATTTGGAATTTGCGACACTGACTTGTTTAAAAGTTGCTGGAACAGACCACGTGTGAAAGGGGACGCGGGCTGCGGCTAAGGTGCTTCGCTTTGGCATGCCAGTTTGTCACTTCTGGAGGACCGACGCCTTCTCCAGTAGTCGCTATCTTTCCTACACATTTTTCTTATCTCATGGCTAAGCAGCAGCTGCCAGACCTTGCTTTGCTGGCAAGCAATCCGCTTTCTGACTCTACAGTGATATGCATGGGCTTCCTGGCTGTCGAGCAAGGTCCTGGTTGTGTAAGTGCGCAGGCTGCATAACAGGATGTAAGTCCAGGTCAAGTCTGAAGAAGCCACAGTTGTGGAGAGTTCCCAATGCACTTCTGCAAGGAGCTGCGACGTGGCCTTACATCGCGAGGCAGCGTTGGGACGGCGCACAAGCCAGGAGCTTTCATGTTGAAACTATTGGAGGCGCAGGGCCGGAGCTGGAACTGCGTGATGCTCCCGTGCTTTTGTGTTCTTCTCAGAGGGAAGTAGGGCACCCTGCTAGATCCATGGGACAGTGTGAGATGTTTTGGCGCTTTGCCTGAGGGCCGTTGAAGAAAGTCAGCTGTCCGATGCAGGCAACACATTCTTTTCAGCGGCCCTGTACTTCCTACTTCACGACGTGGACAGGCCCTGATTCTGTCATCCCCCACCTTCGGCCTGGCAGTGGCCCTGGGACAGGAAAGAGACTTTGAGCAGGTCATCCAGCTGTTTCGGCTAAGGTTGCAATGCCGTACTGGCGGGCTGCGACCGAGCATCACAGTGGCTTAAGGCAGGACGCGTAATTAAGTGTGAAAGTCTTCGGCCAAGATTTTGCTTCACTGAGCCAGGCCCTGCATTTACTGGCAGCGATGAATGTCGAGGAGGATAGCGCAGTGAACGAATTCTTGACATGGCTTGAACTGGATGGTTATGGTACCATTATCGTACCAGTCATGACACTGACCGCCGTTGCAATGTTACGGCAAAGTGGAGAAGCGCGTCTAGTTAGTCAGTCAGCGGTCAAAAAGGTCGGTCGGTTGGTTGGTTTGAGAGGCCAGTTTGACGATTCAGGGTCCACATGTAGGGGTTGCATGCTGCTCCGGATGATATGGCTTGTCCGCTGGGCTGACGAGGACTGGCCAAACCCAGATGCTGGCTCCCCAGGCTTGATCAGACTTTATAGCATTGGCAAGTTGTTAGCTCAAAGGTCGTCAGCTACAATGCGTGCATCAGCGCGTGTGAGAAGGCCTTGCTGTGCAGCAGATGTTATAGCGATCGAGGGGCAAGATGCGTCAGTTCACTATGAGGCTACAAGCTGGATATGGGCAGCGGCCTTAACTGGTGAGCTGTATGTTAACATGATGAACGCTGTCATGCATCACCGTGTGACCATCCGCAGCATAGCCAAGGCCATGCACTTGTTCACGTCGCTTACGTCGCTCTTTGCCAAGGCAAGCAGTGGCCAGCGCACCACGAATGCTTGGCAAATGCTTGGCGAGCTCTTTAAGTCTTGCCCAGGATGACGGGCAGCCTGTGGCTGACGCGATAAGCTTGAACAGCACAGCGCTTGCGCTGACAAGGCATGCCGATGCATGTGGCTTCTGTCTCCTGCCAAGACTTCCACGGCCACCGCTGTACCTGCCAGGGCAACCCGATGGCAGACAGGGATAGAGCTCCTCGGCAGCTGCCTCGAGAAACGTTGGAACAACCGAGTGATGGCTTGTGGAACTCGCTCGGAGTCCGCCAGGTAAGGCCAGGCAGTGTGGCTCACCTCCGTTGAACGCTGCATGCTCAGAGCTACTGCCTGTCTGGGTCCTAGGGCCAATGTCCTCTTTCTACTTGAACCCATGAGCTATGATAAGCTACACCATGCGGGCCAGCAGAGTTTTACTGCAAGCCGTGTGTAAGCGGCTGTGTAGCTGGGGCCTGTGGAGGTGGCCTTGCATATCCACGTTGCAGCTCAAGATCAGTTGTGGCAATGCTCTTTTCGTGAAGTTACACGGAATAATGCTGTTGAAAGCGACTGAGAGATGATGTGATGTTGGTGGATTGTTACCGTGAAGCTCCATGCCTACTGA